GGGTCCTCACTGGGCGTGGGAGACGGGAACAGGCGTTAGGACACGTCCCTGACTGTTTTTGGGTATCAGTGGAGTGGCCCCTTACATGTGCTTGGGGAGTCTGGCGCTTTGGAATGGGTTTGTTGCTCTGTGTGGAGAGAGGAGTCTGTGGTGGGGGACGTGGAGCTTCATGTACTCTATGTGGGATAGTGTCTCTGGGGGAGATCTCTGGGGTTTGGATGGATGGCCATGACAGGTTTTTGGAGAGCTCCAAAGGGCTGTGGATTATATGAATAAAAAATGAAAGTGTAGAGAGTGGCTGGTGTGTGTAGGAAGCTGAATGGTGAGCTTTGAAAGGTTTCTTGACTACAGGGGCTGCAAGTGTGTGAAAGGGCTCAGATGCAGTTGGTGGGCATGGGTTGTAGATGAGTGGCTAAGTATTGGGCCTGGGGAAGTCTGCTCTCTGCAGATGATTGATGGTGGTCCCAGCAGATGACTTTCAGCCAGTGGTAGGTGTGGGGAGTGCCAGGTGGAGGTGTGTTTTGGTTTCTGTGTAAGAGGGTTTTAATCATAGGAGGGGAATTAAGACAAAGCTGAGTCCCTGGTAGGGAAGGACAGTCAATCTTTGATGAGTCAGTGTGATCTGTTTGGGGAGAGAGGAATGTGAATAGCCTGGGACTGAGGGTAAGGTTGAGTTCCTAAAGGAAAGAAAGGGTCTGTGATAATGAAAACTTAGTGGGTCAGGTCCTTGTGTACAGTATGTGAGGCAGTGAGTAGTGGGGAGAGGAGGAGCCTAGGGCTGTGAGGGGTGGTGTCAGGAGGCAATGAGAGAAATATTTTGTCTGTGGACAAAAAATATGCAAGGCAATAGTCACTGGTGGCTCACTGGACTGATAGGTAGCAGATGTTTTTAGTGGCAGCTGTTACCCCCCTACCACCTCCAATGGCCTAGTCATTCTAGCTAAAATCAGTGCCCATTGAATTGCATTGTTAAAAGGAGGAAAACAATTAAGTGGAAGTTGTCTTTGTTTATTTTTTTAATTTTGAGATGTATGTAATACTTATGTTAAAAGGTTACAAGAACACTATATGTGCTGTTTCAGTAACTCATTTAGAAATAATCTTTATATTATTTTGCATGTGGTGAAGAGCAATGCCAAGCTAAAATGCTTGTTAAATAATAAGATTTGGCAAATGGTATACCACCTTAAATCTTAAAAATACAGTAGCCTTATTACTTTCAGTAGAACTGCTTAAGTAAAGCAAATACATAAGAACTGGCAGGTTCAGTTTGAAATCCTTAGTTTAACTGTAAATGCCATTATAGATTTAAATGGAACAATACAAATCTTGCTTATATGGTCTGCATTTCATTTACTTCTGTGTTTCTTTTAGTTTAGAGGTAGAGAGGGAGCTGCGGATTGAGTTGGCACAGCATCAGTGAATATGGGAGAGGAATGCTGCTTATGTCTAATGAAAATCTAATTGGTTTTGTTTTCTATCACTAGCTGCTATATTTGTTTTGGAAACCCTTTAAGAAGATATTTGTTACTTTGGTAAATCATATTGTAGGGAGCTGCAGAAAATACTGTTCAAACATAAGAAAAAACTGTTTTAATGCTGAGGGTCATAAAGTACTGGGATAGGTTGCCCAGAGACATTGCCAAGTTTCTGTCTCTGGAGATACTCAAAAGCTGACTGGACAGGGCCCTTGGCAACCTGCACTGGCTGACCCTGCTTTATTCAGGAGCACTGAGCAGGTGATCTCCAGAGATCCCTTCCAGCCTCGGCTATTCTGTGATTTTGTAATGAGTAGTCCAGAGCTTTTCAGATTGCATTAACTTGGGGATAAACACTGTTCAAACATGTCTGTGTCTCTCCTGATACACAGGAAAGCTCTTCAAGTGGGTCTTTACAAACCTTGGCTTGGAATCGCTGTTCAGTTCCATAGGATTTGTAAGCTCTCTATGTAAGGTCTTAAAGGGCTGATCTTCAAGGTGTTGCTGCCCTTGGCTTTAACTGACTTTGAATGTTGATATAGTAAGAACAATTTGGTTGGTATGAAGTGAACTGGTGCCAGATATACACAGTCTCTGTTTCCTGTTAAAGTCTAACCCACATAATTTTTGTTAATACAGAGAGAGATCAAAAAAGCAGTGACTGAACCTGCATGAAGACTTTTTTCCAAAGAGTGTGATAGGGTAGAGTGCTTCCATTTTGACATTACAAAGCAGTGGGGTTTTTTTCCCATCAACTTGCTGTTTGCAGTGCTAATCCTAGTGATGTCTTTTCAGACTTACTGTTTGACCAGTATTTTCCAAAACCTTTTGAGTTCTGTGGTCTGTACTGTGTTGGGCATCTTGTTACCATGTTGGATCAGTATGTTAAAAATTGAGTTGATTGTGTGGGTGTGTGTTTGCTGGGTTTTTTTTAATAGTGTTCTTTAATGTTCAGGAAGAACTTACAGAAGGCAGGAGTCTATATGCTTTGGTCACCATGTCTGGAATTGGCAATAAACGGGCAGCTGGAGAGCCTGGCCCTTCTGCACCTCCAGAGAAGAAGGCAGGGGTTGAAGATTCAGGGACCACAGTGGAGACCATTAAACTTGGTGGTGTTTCTTCAACGGTATGTCTTCCTTGCACACCCCTACTCAACCTCTTGCATTTTTTAATCTGGAAACAAAAATATCTTTCTGCCTTCTGTATGAGCCCTGTGATCTGGCTTGTGTGCAATGTGCCCTGACTTGTGCCTTTGCACAGGAGGAGATGGACATCCGGACCCTACAGACGAAGAACCGGAAACTGGCAGAGATGCTGGACCAGCGGCAAGCCATTGAAGATGAGCTACGGGAGCACATTGAGAAGCTGGAGCGTCGGCAGGCCACCGATGACGCCTCTCTGCTGATTATCAATAGATACTGGAATCAGGTTAATAACACGCTTTGTTATTTTATATACACTGTTCTCTTGTCTCTTCTTCTGTTCCACTGCACTCCTTTTATTCACATCCATTCTTTTTCTTGTCTTGCCTGTCCGATCATGCAGTTTGATGAAAATATCCGCATCATCCTTAAGCGCTTCGACCTGGACCAAGGTCTTGGAGACCTTTTGTCTGAAAGAAAAGCACTGGTGGTACCAGAACCTGAACCAGACTCAGACAGTAATCAATAGAGGTGAGGCACCTGGCTGGGGACAGTGGAAAAGGTTGATTTCAGCTGTGGACAATGTTGATGTCTCTTTCTAAAGGGTGACAGAGGCTTTCTGATGGTGAAGACTAGCGATATGCTGCCTGCCAGAGCACATTTACTTTTTTGCATCTCTCTCTGTTCCCAGGGGAGGGACTGGAGCCGGCATTCTCCTTCCTAGCTACTCTAGCCAGCAGCACTAGTGAGGAGATAGAATCTCAGCTGCAGGAGCGTGTGGAATCTTCCCGCCGTGCTGTTGCCCAGATTGTGACGATGTATGACAAGCTGCAGGAGAAAGTGGATGTGCTGACCCACAAGCTGAATAGTGGAGGTATGACCAAGGTGGCTGATCCCTAGCTGATGCTCAAGAATCGTCATCTGCCCCCAGCTTAGACATGATTCTGCATTGTAAGCATTAAGGCCTAGTCCTTCTCGTGCTCATTTATTTTCCAAAATAAATTGGCTTAGCTTTCCAAATTCTCAATAACCAAAACCTCTAATACAGACTAGTACTATATGCTGGAAGTGTATTATAACTGCCTCTAAATTTGAATGCAGAGAACTCTGACCTGTGTGTTGGGCTAAGGAGAGGCTTGTTTCTGCCAGTAGCATCTTCATGCACCTGAGAAGTTACAGATTACGTTGAACCTTATTATACAGCTGTCCTCAGCCACTGTGTAGAAGGCTTCATGCTTACAAGTGACGAAGTGAAATCAATGTTGGACTCCTTCTTGATTGCAGCTTAGTAAAAGGTGTAGGAATAACCAGCTCTTCAGTTTCCATTGAGTTTTGAGCAGAATGGTAGCCATCTAATGTCTTGGTGTGCCCAGTGTAGCTGTCAGTTTTGAACACAAAGCAGAGTTCTGCAGAAGAAAGCCAAATAACTAGCTTCTGAAAATTAAGGTAGCAGATTCAATTTACACTCAGATGACTCTCTGAAAAACTTCATTAGCTTAAGGTTAGAATTTTAATCTTTTGAATGAAAATTTAGGCGGAATATCAACTCATCCTTGGTTTGCCTTCTGTCCAGAGCGTTCTATGTGCTCTGATCAAGGAGCTCGGGCACATCTCCCAAGTAGTTAGCGATAGGACAAGAGGAAATGGGCTCAAGCTGCGCCAGGGGACGTTTAGATTGGATATTAGGAAAAATTTCTTCACGGAAAGGGTAGTCAAGCATTGGAACAGGCTGCCCAGAGAGGTGGTGGAGTCGCCATCCCTGCAAGCGTTCAACAAACATGTAGACGTGGCACTTAGGGACATGGTTTAGTCTAGTCTACCCTTAATTGGTTTAGTGTGGCCTTGATAATGTTAGGTTAATGGTTGGACTGGATGATCTTAAAGGTCTTTTCCAACCTAAACGATTCTATGATTCTATGATCTAGCATTGGTGTAATGATAGTGAAGCATTACTGTCCTCAGTTGGCAGTCTTAAACTCTGCAGTAGCATTGGCAATAGTACATGTGATCCTGTACTCAGTTGCTGTAATTGTCATCTGGTATGTTAGCTCAAGCCACCTGTTGTAGCAGGCTTATGCATAAATTTGATCTGCATTAGGGTGTCATGGGTTACAAGGGCATGTTGTGTGTTGCTGATACTGAGACAATTGGAACGATCTCTGACAGTAGGGGACAGTAACTGACAGTCAAAATGTCTAGTATGTTAAACTGCAGAGCCTTTTGCTTTGTGAATGCAAATCAAGGCTCTGTGTAGCTGGAGATCAGACCCTCGGGAACCACCTGCTGGAGAGATACAGCAAGTGGAAGTTAAAACTAGAAATTTCCTTTTCTGTGTTCTTTTTTTCTCTCTTTGCTGTTTAAGAATTAAAAACAATCTTCCTTGATTTCTGTTCATTTCCTTTTCTTTATGCATCTTTCAGATATTTCATTGATGGAAGAAGCAGTCCTGGAGCTTAATACCTACCTCTCACATGAAAATGGACGACTGCAGGAGCTGGCTGATGTTCTTCAGGAGAAGCACCGAATCATGTCTCAGGAGGTATAAAAAGGAGAGAGAAAGAAATCTGCTTTGGGGTCCTGCTTGGAATAATTGTGGAGCAACATGGTTTGAAAACTGCCTTCTGAACAAAGGTTATGGAAAGGGTTGTTGTTGTGGAGAACTGTACATACATTTTCTGTGTAATATGGATTGATTTGCTTGTTACGTCACTGAATGAAAGAGTATAACCAAACCAGTGTGCTGAATGCATTTAATTTGAAAAGAAAACAGCAGAGGAAGTGGTAAAGTGATGCTAAGGTGGTTGTGTAAACATCTGAGACACTTGATGTGACATCCCTGTCATTTCAAATTCCTTGGTTTCTCTGGGTGACGTATGAAAGTGTAACAACATTAATTACAAGATGATCCCAGTCGTTAAGGGATTCATGTTATTGGCAATATTTGTTTCAGAGGCTTTACTTTCTTTAAAAACTGTGTTAACGCTGGCGTTGCTCAGTGTTAGACCACCAAGCACTTCAGTGGTCTGTAAAGTAGATGAACATATGGATTGAAAAGATTTAAAAAAAAAAAAAAAAAAAAAGAATAAGCTGAGGTGGCTACTGTACTCTGCCAGATATTACCAGCTACTTGCTCTTTCTCTGTTTTCAGTTTTGTCATATTTTTATTACTGTGTTGGGATTCAGCCAGTGTAAAATTAAGGGCAGTTCATTGAGTAGTCTATCACCACAGCAAAAGACGGGTGGAAAGCACATGAATTCAGGTTATGATGAATAAGAGAAAAATTAATTCTGTTCAGTCTTGGAAAATGTTGATTGTATTCATTATGCTGGCTGAGACACACTTTTGATTGCAGTTCTCCAAGCTGCAAGAGAGAGTGGAGACAGCAGAATCTCGGGTGTCTGTTCTGGAGACTATGATTGATGACCTTCAGTGGGATATCGACAAGATACGCAAGAGGGAGCAGAGGCTCAACCGACACTTAGCGGATGTTCTGGAACGAGTAAGCACCATCCTCTTTGCCTGCAAACCAGAGAAATGTGTGTAGTTTTGAGATGTGTGACATCATCTTATGGTATTTCACTGTGAGAAGTGAGAATCTGGAGTACCATCTTTGGTCTTGAATATGCTGTATCAGCAGGCTTGGCATTTTGCTGGATATTGAGGAAACCTGTTGCCTTTTTTGCAGGTAAATTCTAAAGGCTACAAGGTGTATGGAGCTGGGAGCAGCCTCTATGGGGGCACAATCACCATTAATGCCCGCAAGGTAATGTCAGGGGCTTGGGTGTGGGCAAGGGGAAGAAGAAAGTCAAGGAGAGCTTGTGCACAGGGCCATAGATTAGAACAGAATTTAGACACCTCCTTTGCCACAAAGCTGGGTGACTCTGCGCAAGCCATTTTGCTTGTGTACAAGTTTCCTACTTATGAAACAGACCTGGTGGAAGTAGACTCTGTCTCACTTGGTACTGTTACTGACTGTTAAGACTCTAATTCCTGTTAACTGTATAAACAGTTACTTAATTAGTATCCTCAGTAGATACATCAACAGGAGGATTTACAAGGCGTTTATCCCCAACAGTTTGAGGAGATGAATGCAGAGCTGGAAGAGAATAAAGAGCTTGCTGGGAATCGCCTCAGTGAGTTGGAGGAACTACGCCAGGATCTTGAAGAAGTAACAACACAGAATGAAAAACTCAAGGTGAGACATCTGTACCTATTTGAGAACGAACATGTTCTGTGTGGTTGGTTGCCCTCTATCTTGCTGTAATGTGTCTCTGGAAAACCTCATTAATACTACTCTATTTTGTGCTTGCTTTTTAGCTGGGTTGTATTTTGTACAAGGTACAATTTAGCAAGTTTGTGGGACTTAAGACTTGCAGTTCAGTGCATTGGTGACACCATGTGGTCATCCTTGGAAACTGTAGTGATTTCTTTTTTCCTGTTTTCCATTCTGATCTGTTCAGTACATTTTAACGATGTCTAGTTAAAACTAATTTCACCTCTTTCCAAGTATTGACCCCTCTTCCACCTTCCCACCATCTTCCACCTTCCCACTGCCCTGTGCAAGTGGAACCAGAGAACTGAAAAAATCGGGGAACTTCTGTAGGAGAGCTATGTTCTTGAAAGAGTCGATGACCTTAAATCTTTCCCAGTGTGGTAGAATGGATAGAGGACAGCATATGAGTTTCTTATGTCTTAAAGGTGGTAACACAAAAAGCTGTGATTCTATAGCAGATAAGTTTATGATACAGAGAATAATCTAAACTTTATATTAGTGATCAATAGATCTGTTAGCCTGTTACAAGAAATGTCTGAGCTGATAACCTAAGTTTCAGAGATGAGATTCCAGAAACTGTCTTAAGGCACCTCTAAATTCTGTTTATCCACATGAGTTTGTTTTGAGAGAAACCATTTGGCTTACAACTCTCTTTTTCTCTTTATTAGTGTTAAGCTGTATGTGTGTATATATATGTGTCTGTTTCACTGCTGGTAGTCACAATCATTAGCTAACTTTTTTTCTAAGGAAAATTCAGGTTCTGTACTTCTGCTTTCTCTCGTTTCTCTTTCAGGCATTATGTCTGTTACGGGTAGAAAGCTAACATAATGCCTGCTTCACATGTATGTTCTCTAGTTTTCTATTACACTTTTCTACGTGTCCATCTTTATTGATTTGGGTGATTATGGTTTAACAGTAGATCCATTGTAAAGGTATATCATGTTTTCCAAGCTCCTGTCTTTGAGAGAAACTATTGCAGAACCTGAGAATCCAAAACTCTTGTCATGTGACTATGCAAGAGAAACAACCTAGTGCATACAGAGAAAGCATAGGCTTTTTATATTGATACTGAAGCATATCACTTGCATGTACTTTGCAGCAATGGTATTAAAGTTCTACTTTTGTCTTTGTTTGTGGCAGCTTGATTCACTGTTCTCCTACCTTGCAGAACAGATACCAAAGACAAAGAGATAATTTTTCTTTCAGTGGCGTTTTCTTGTGTCCTGACTAGGTTGAGCTGCGACGAGCAGTGGAAGAGGCTGTGAAGGAGACCCCAGAATATCGCTGCATGCAGTCCCAATTTTCTGTTTTGTATAATGAGAGTCTCCAGCTGAAGGCACATCTTGATGAAGCCCGCACTCTGCTTCATGGCACCCGCACCACACACCAGCGCCAGGTGGAACTAATTGAGGTAGCTCCTCTGGTCCATCAGACTAGGGAACATTGTCATCCTATTGACCATCACTGCTGGGTCTGGGTGGCTCTTCCTGGCAATAATTCTTTCTGTTCTGGTGTCTCATGTTGATGAGGTGAGAGATACTCCAGAGTCACAGTACCAAGTTGTGTCCTGTTCTTAATCCTCAGAGGGATGAGGTCAGCCTTCACAAGAAACTACGCACAGAGGTGATTCAGCTAGAGGACACCCTGGCACAAGTCCGCAAAGAATATGAGATGTTGAGGATAGAGTTTGAACAGACACTTGCTGCCAATGAACAAGCAGGTATGGCATTTTTCTGCTGTGCTTAAAAACAACCCCCACCTCCACCCCCAATGCCCATTAGAGGCTGCATTGCAGTAAAACACCTGGTTTGATTCTTTTTCTGTTATTGTTAAATACTTGTTCTGGCAGGTTCTCTATCTCAAAAAACAAAACTTATCACGAGTTTTATGGGAGGCCAGTTCCATGTTATCTGACTTCCTTTTAGATGCTGCAAAATACATACATTGTGCTAATAATTTGGTTTATGACAGAGTATTTTGCATTATTACAAACTACTTTTGAGGGGATTCATTTACAAGTCTGGAAAGACAATGTGGATAGGAAAGCAGTAATTTTCAAATTTCATCAGAGGAAATAAGTTATTTCTAAAGTAGCATTTAAATCATAGAGATTTTTTGTGGCATGACACGTTTCCCTTAGGAACTTGGGGAAAAAAGTAATGTTAAGGGAAAACTGAGGCTGGGAATTTGCAAGGACTTATGGTTGCATGTAAAACTGGCATGACTCTTTTTCTGCAAATGTGTTGTGTTGCTCTGTTGTGTGGCAGAGTGATAGTAGTCTTATTTTGGTTCTTTGTCATTGTCACTTAGCTTGTTCTCCATCTCCATGAAAGTCCTCGTAGAAGGTTGGCAAAAGTGTGGTTTGTTGTGTTTCTGTTTTTGTAGGCCCAATTAATCGGGAGATGCGTCACCTTATCAGCAGCCTCCAAAATCACAACCACCAGCTGAAGGGAGAGGTGTTAAGATACAAGCGCAAACTGAGAGAGGCTCAGCAGGAAATGCCAGAAAAGAGGAGGAAGTGCTTAGGAGAAGGGGGATGCTGTCAGCCTTGCCTGCAATATCAAGCTTTCTGATAAGGCATGCAGGATGCAATGTAATTTTCGATGGAGCTCTACTGCTTCCACTTACCAAATGAATGGTCTTCCTTTGTAGCTGTATAGTGCTACATGAAAAGTAGTAGCAATTTTGGAGGGGGCATGCAAGCATCGATCTGGGAAGGCAAAGGAAGGGGTAAGTTCTGGCTGAGAACGTAATGGTTTGTTTTCTTCTGTGTCTTCTTTCTTCCTATTCCACAACAGATCCGCTCTCGCAGTGGTAGTGCTCTCTTACAGTCCCAGTCCAGCACTGAAGACACAAAGGAGGAACCTCCAGAGATCAAGCAGGAACCTGATGATCCTTCTGCCCAAGTGTCTGTCCCCAAGGCTGCTTCTGAAGATGTTAATGAAATGAAGGCCAGGCGAGATGAAGAGGAACGGGAGCGAGAGAGACGGGAGAGGGAGAGGGAACGAGAGAAGGAAAAAGAGAAAGAGAGAGAGCGAGAGAAAGAGAAAGAAAAGGAAAAGGAACGAGAGCGGGAAAAGCAGAAGCAGAAGGAATCTGAGAAGGAGAGAGAGTCCAAAGAGAAGGAGAAAGGGAAGCATGAAGATGGAAGAAAGAAGGAGGCTGAAGCGATCAAGCAACTGAAGGCTGAGCTCAAGTAAGAGTTGTTGTCCCTCCCTTTCCTGCTGGAGTAGTGCCCCAACTGGGGCGTTGTGTGAGATGACTTGTAGCTCGCTCTTACAAGAGTAGCTTCAGTGAAGTGAAGTGAGAGTTTTCTGGCATCCTCTCTGTCTTATTGTGATTTGGACAATGTAGTAACATTTCTCTTACGACAGCCTAAAGCATGAATTACCAAACCAGACACTTCATGGTGTAGGTCAAGTAATCTTTATGTGTTGCTGTCATATCAGTTATGTAAAGCTTTACAGCAGCAGGTTATTAATAAAGGGCACAGTACTCTTCTTCCCTTGTCTTGGATCAGTACCAAAGCAGAGATGGATAGTTTGTTGCTTACTATTAGGGTATATGTTTCCTCCCCACCCCAATTCTCTTGGCTTTTCAACTCATGTGCCTGAACATGTTTCTTTTCAGCCTCCAGCCTGCACTCCTTGGCTGTTTTACGTTTCCGGGATAAGATGAGCCAAGACTAATTCCATATACATACCATGTGGGAGATGGAGAGAATGTTGTCTGACTCTCATTCTGGATATATAACAGCATAGCTTTCCTGCTGTATTTTCACAGTTGTCTATCTCCCTGTCTCCAGGAAGGCTCAGGAGAGCCAGAAGGAGATGAAGCTGTTGCTAGATATGTACCGCTCTGCCCCCAAAGAGCAGAGAGACAAAGTGCAGCTGATGGCAGCTGAGAAGAAGGCAAAAGCTGAGGTAAATCTAATTTCTCTTCCCTTTCTCTCTTTAGTGTGTTACTTAAAACTTCTTTTCTGATACTCTGTACCTGAACTGTGTTGTTTTTGTCTTCAGAACTGGAGATTATTCCTCTTCTCATCTTTGTCACTTAGAAGAGAGATTGGAATGGTCTGGAGATGAACAGGGAGATTTTGGGCTGTCCTCTGGGAAGGGATGATCCCTTTGCCCAGGCTGAGGGACATGGCTCCTGCTTTCTCAGCTGCAGATTCAACCAGTAGTGAAGCTGAACACATGTCCCAGAGACATACACACACAGAGGACACTGACACGGCCAGTAAGGCTGCCACAGATGAGGTGCTGCCTTCAACAGCGTGTACATATAGGACTCATAAAACGCAAGCATAGACACACAAGTCCTCTTCCTCGTCTTCAGCTGGTGGAGATAGAATGGCAGTAGTGCAGGCACACACACAACAATCTCTAGGTTCACAAGCACACACATATTTGCAGATCCCTCAAGTACTGGCATGGCCCCTCTGTCTGTCTGGTACCACTGTGATCCCAGGCCCTCTTAACCTTCTTCACATACAGGTCTCACCTGGAGCTAGCACTTGATCCATGCAGCACACATACACACAGGGTAGAGAGTTAGATTACACAGGGGTAGTTAAGAAAATATTTAATAATAAGATACAAGAAGGTAGGACAGGCTGCGGTGATTGTGTGCTGGGCTGAGCCAGACAAGCATGTACTGACTGCCCTAATTTTACATGACCCCTCTCTGTCTAGTCCCAATTTGTTCATCTTTGCTCTCCCTTCCCCTGCACGTCCCTCCTGGGTTTGTAAAGCTCTATGCATTCCCACAGCCCTCCCAGTGCAGTATCCACCCCCAGTTTACAGTCTCACCTGTTGCAAAGTCCAGGCTGATCTTCCTGGAAGTGGTGCCTGTAGTTTCTTGGTAGCCTGTCAGCTATTGTGACTGGAGAGGTCTGTTTCCTGTCTCTGTCTCCATGTTTGTGTTGTCAGGTCTATGTCTCTGTATATTTTGTTTCTGGTTTCTTGCCTCTGTGCCCCTGCACCCCCTGCCCAGGTTCCCAATTGACAGGGTCCACAGACGGATAAGTTTGGTGGAATAAACATTCTCACATTCTCTCTTCAGTTAGAATGACTGAACAGGTTTGGTTCTCATCGCTTATAATTTGTCTGTCAGGTTTGTGTCTCTGTAGACAGTTTTGTTTATGGCTTCCTCCTTTTCTTATTAACCCTTTTTGTATTGAAAGAGGTCCTTGACTCAGACACCCTTAAAGGAGCAGATGCTCTCTGTCTGCATACCCTTACGTATACAACTGCAAGAGACTAATGTTCCTACTCTGATAAAAGATACTGTGGAATTTTTAAAGGTTTTGAAATCAAGATCTTGGGCTTACAGCCCATCTTAATGGTACATCTGCCAGTAATACACTGTCCTGTCAAGATGAGATGGGTTTTCTTTTCCTATGCTTTGAAGGCAGTTTCTGCCAATGTTTCAGAGAATTGTGGGGAAAACAGGCTGTTAACAATGTTCAGGCCACATTCTTGTGTTTAGTGTCATTTTTGTTTTGTCCTTGCTGTAGCTGGAAGAACTGAGGCAGAGGGTGAAAGAATTGGAAGACAAGGAGAAAAAGGAGAGTAAAAAGATGGCTGATGAGGATGCCCTCCGCAAGATCCGAGCAGTGGAGGAACAAATTGAGTATTTACAGAAGAAACTAGCTATGGCTAAGCAGGTGAGAAGTTTCTGATGAGTTCTGTCTTGGCTGGAGCACCTGGGAAGGAGCTGCCTTCAGGTTACATCCGGGAAGATTACCTGAGACAAGGAATTTCTGTGTATGTGCCAGAGATATGAGTTTTGTCCCTGTTTATCAAAGGAAAAAAACCCCAACCAGCCAAAAAGCCAACAACGATCAAAAAAACCCCACACCACCAGCGTGTCACAGAGTTCGTGGTGGGGGATGTTTAATTCTTTGCAGCCTAGGTGAAGGGCACAGAGATGGGCAGATCAGCCTTTAGGGGAGGAGATTACAATTTCTTCAAGTACTATCTGCACAGTTCATATAATTAATACATGTGCATGGTACCGTGACATACCTTCTTCCACAAAAAAGGGCTTAATCTAATGATAAGAGAGCGGGACTACCTCAGTAGGGGAGAAGCAAGCCAGGGACTTGGCATGTACTTTTTTAGAATTCAGATTCTTTTCCTTACAGTACAGAACTGTTCTGTCTTACTCCTTTGATGTTGAAGTGGCCTGAGTGAGTTTAAAGGGCTTGGCAGCCTGTTAGTTGGAAGCTGTTGAGTTGTCCACGTGTAGAATTCTTGTCCTAGTGTATGTGACAGCTGTTCAGCTAGCTGCCTGAAGTTGGGAGTTGGTTTCTACCCAGCTCTGGCAATGACTGTGTCACAGCTGATTTTGCCAGCAGACAAACCACAGTCTCTGAATGCTCATGGAGATGACCATCTCTTTTCTACACCTTCTAATTCAGGGCATCTCTGCTGTGGTGCAGAGTTCTAGGGAGCACTTTCTTCTGATTGCTGGGAAGATACTGTTCTCTGATACTGAGATGTCTTCCTTATCTGCGCTGGATTTGGTGTCTCTGAACAAAACGTTCAGGGTCTTTGTACAGGGCACAGTTTTGACAGAACCTGTGATTCTTCTGCAGGAGGAGGAGGCCCTGCTGTCAGAAATGGATGTCACAGGCCAAGCCTTTGAAGACATGCAGGAACAGAACATCCGCCTGATGCAGCAGCTGCGGGAGAAGGATGATGCCAACTTCAAGCTGATGTCAGAACGCATCAAGTCCAACCAGATCCACAAGCTGCTGAAAGAGGAGAAGGAGGAGCTGGCAGACCAAGTTTTGACACTGAAGACACAGGTAACCTGGGAGAAGGAGAGAGGACAACAGAACTGATATGGGAAGGTGCAGGTATTGTGGGTTAACTCTGGTAGGCAGCTAAGCTCCATGCAGCCGCTTGCTTGCTCCCCCACAGTGGAATGGGGGAGAGAATCAGAAGGGCAAAAGTGAGAAAGCTTGTTGGTTGAGATAAAGACAGTTCAATCGTTAAAGGAAAGCTGTGCGTGCAAGCAAAGCAAAATGAAAGAATTCATTCACTACTTCCCATGGCAGGCAGGTGTTCAGCCATTTCCAGGAAAGCAGGGCTCCACCACTCCTAACAGTTACAAACTCCATCACTCTGAACATCCCTCTGCTTCCTCCTTTCCATCAGCTTTATATGCTGAGCTCAATGTCATATGGTATGGAATATCCCTTTGGTCAGTTGGGGTCAGCTGTTGCAGCTGTGTCCATCCCAGTTTTTTGTGCACCCTCAGCCTACTTGCTGGTGGACAGCATGAGACACAGAAGGTCTTGATACTGTGTAAGTACTGTTCATCAGTAGCTAAAACACTAGTGTGTTACTGATGCTGTTTTGATCCCAAATCCAAAATACAGCACCATATGAGCTGCTATGAAGAGAATTAACTGTATGCCTGCCAAAATCAGTACAGGAGGGAATGTTCCCCTAAGCAACATACGTATGCTGCATCAGACCTCAAAGGGACCTGTCTTAGTAAGAAACAGAGACTGCTGTATGAGTATGAAATGTCCTACAGGTTCATTGCTATGGAGAGCAGGAGGAAGAAGGAAAGTAGGAAGTAATTTTCCTGTCATAATGGTACTTCTACATATATATTCTGCCATCCTTGGAACCAGGGTGGAACTATTCACTGCCTTGCAGCAATTCTCTAAGCCACCTTCCAAAAAATAAGACATCTTTGTTGCAAGTATTTCGTTGCTAAGTGTTAAAGTGTTCACCAGAGAGGTCTGGATATAGTTCTTAGACTGCTAGTGTGTCTGTTCAGGAAGAAAAAGGCAAGCTGAAGAGGTACTCCTTGGTGATGGGGAGGCAGGGATAATTTTAGCATGCAGCTTTAATGACAACTCTGAAGACCTGCAGAGCATGCATTTCAGTCCTTCTGTACCTCCTCTCTCCCTTTCCAAGGTGGATGCCCAGCTGCAGGTTGTACGTAAGCTGGAGGAGAAGGAACACTTACTGCAAAGCAGTATTGGAACAGGTGAGAAGGAACTGGGTCTCCGAACACAGGCCCTGGAAATGAACAAACGGAAGGTGAGTGATTGCTTGATTTCCTCTTTAGTTGTAAGATGGAGTTGTTGTCTTGTGGGAAGCATAGAAGGCTCCTAGCTCTCATTGGTATTACAAAATGTGATATGCGTGCTTTTGGACTAGCATACCAGAAGGCTGAGGAGTCTTGAAGAGAGTTCTGATTAAAGTACTGTAGACTGATTTTTCCTTTGATAAATGAGGAACAGGTCATAGGTGTTTCTGTGAAATTCTGAGTAGGGAGCTGAAGTAAGGAAACCTATCATGAAAGAAGAGGCCGCAGCCAGATGAAGTTAACTGGTGTCAAAGGTTTTCTAGGAAAGATGGGGTAAGTAAAAGGAAAATGTGGCTGGGGAATATTAAGACCTTTAACAGATATCTAAGATGAATAAAGTAGGTCAGTTATGAGTAAAGTAAGACTAAGTCTCATGGTTGATCCTGCCTTTGTTGTTAAATCTTTAGTAGAAATGCAGTAATGACATTAAAACAGAGAGAATGGAAAGCAGAAATACCACTGTGAAGAGGAGATGGAGGGGACTCAGCACAATCACTTGTGCCACAATCTGTGGTATTGAGGGAGCTTGGCTAATAGATTCATTGGTGCAGGGACAGTTAGGAAGTGATAGGAGAACTGGTGAAAAGGGAAAATGATTAAAAAATAAACAATTATCTTGCAGTTCTGTCTAGTTCAGCTATAGAACTGCCTCTAAACAATTTAGTGGAGAAAATGTAGAAGGTGGAAGGCTGAAAATACTTGAACAAGAAAAGAATTGTGTGGTCATTAGTATTTTTCTAAGTGATATGCATTGCAGTGTGACAGGCATTGGCTCTACTGAAGAGGATTGTTGAAGCTAAATGGTTAGAGCTTGTTAATAATAAGGTATTTTGCTGTTGAAGTAATGTTTAGGGAGTAATTCCAGTTACTCCATTTGGAAGTACCAAAATTAGATTGAAAAAAAATAGATTTCCAGTAGCCCAAGCAGTATTCTGTGAGCAGTCTTGGGTTGCCAGGCAGAGACTAGAAATCACTAGAGCTCTTTTTCCATGTTTGGTACTTCTATACTGGTTTTCTTTTTCAGGCCATGGATGCAGCCCAGCTTGCAGATGATCTGAAAGCCCAGCTAGAGCTGGCTCAGAAGAAGTTACATGACTTCCAGGATGAGATCGTGGAAAACAGAGTAACTAGAGAGAAAGAGATGTTCAACTTCAAAAGGGCTGAGGTATATACCTCATGCACAATCCTTTCAATATCTGTTGGCTTTGGTGTCTGTCTCCTTGTGCATTGAGCTTGGAGTGGGTTACAACTACACTACTTTTTTGGGGGTCCAGTTTCACTTTGATTTCAGCTTCATCAGGTCTTGGCTCTTTCAGGTTTTGTCCACTGATAACAATACATAGGGCATTGGATGGTAATGTAATCTGTCGTAAATCTGTTGGACTATTGGGGTGAAAGTATGAGTGGAGTGACTTAGCCGCAAACACTGTTGGGTGGTGCTAGTTCTATTTGGTCCCTGAAGGAGCTGTGACAGAGAATATACTGCTTATTTATTTGGTCTCTTGTTTTTATGCAGGAAGATATTTCTAGGTTACGCAGGAAGCTGGAGACCACTAAGAAACCTGACATGGTTCCCAACTGTGATGAGATACTAATGGAAGAAATCAAGGATTACAAGGTGAGTAGCTGTCTCTACTAAACTTCCCTCTTTAACTCTACTTCAGTCAAAAGGCTGTGTAGTCATGTTGTCAGTATTTGACACCTCTTGTCTGTACTCTGGCATTGTAGACCTACCTTGCATTGAAGAAACCACCTTCTCCTTATGAAGAATGGAAGGACCTTCGTCTTCATTCATCTATTAACATACCTAGTGCAATGCAGTGGGCCCTCACTATAATGTTTCTGTCTTTCAGGCCCGCCTGACCTGCCCATGCTGTAACATGCGCAAAAAGGATGCTGTGCTCACAAAGTGCTTTCATGTCTTCTGTTTTGAGTGTGTGAAAACACGCTATGACACCCGGCAGCGTAAGTGCCCCAAGTGCAATGCTGCCTTTGGTGCCAACGACTTCCATAGGATCTACATCGGTTGATTTTTTCCCCTGGAGTGATGGAAAGTTGCTGCTTATGCTGACCTCCCAGCATCCCTCACTTTCTGTGACTGTCACCTTTGGGGCAGTCAGTGCTTCTGTCAGCTGATCTACAGTCTCTTCTGGGAAGCGTGGTTAGGGTATGGAAAGAAACAGGTTCTGGATCTTCATTCCTTTCTTGTCCCTTTTCTTTTATTCTTGCCCTCAGTTTTTGTGGATTCTTTGTGCCTGAGAGGATATTTCCCATCAATCACTTTCACACTGCCAAGTTGGGAACATCTAACTGAAGTCCTGCCTTGATGGGATGGAAGCTGTCTGTGGTGCAGCAGAGACAAATGAGGCCTTAATTTGAGGAGTTTCCTTTGGATGTTAATTATTAAATCCCATCAAGATATGGTAGTGTTTCTGAGAGTGAATAGTTTCCCGGTTAAAGGGCCAAATAACAAATGAACAGGTACATCTGTAGACGTCACTGGAGTGACTTCTTAGATATGTATCTTCCTGAGTCAGGGCAAGAATCTATGAAGGCTGTTGCATTAGTTAACATCCTCCCTACCCCCAAACGTAAACGCACATCTTAGTATCCAGAAGAGGAGAAAGATAAGATGTTGGAGAATCTTTGAAAATAGCATTCCATTGATGAACCCTGGTTGATGTGGACATTTTCCCCTAGGTTGAGGCATTGCTGTCATTGTTCTTAGTTTCCAGAAAAGAATTTGTAGGAGTTACTTTGTTGCAACTTTGCCACAAAGATTAATCTTGTAATGCACAAAATCTAATAAAAGCTGTTTTCCAGGCTATTTTTCTGTTTTTCTTGCCTCTGGTACTATCTGTCTGTGCTCCTGTCCTTTGTCCAGTTATTGGAAACATTTTTCACAAGCTTTAAGCTTCTGAAGTAAAGAGATTAATTTCTTCCTTCCTCTGTTTTCAAAAAATGGTTAATGAAATAAACTTTTGTCCTTTTGGCTGTATCTTCACTACCTTATTCCTGACACAACAGAAGGGCTAAGCTACTGGATTATTTATGCAGTCATTTTGTCATGGCTGCTGGGAATTTTGTGAAAGGATATGGCATAGGTTATAGCCTCTATGATCCCTGTAGTGCAAGATTGTATTTGAAGTCTGCTCCTAAAATCAACGCGAAGTAATTTATTTAGAACATTCCTTCATAGGGCGTAGTGTTTTTCCTGTAAACTTAATTTTCTTGGAAGGTGCACTGTTAGAGGTTTGTCTCATCTGTGTCCTTTCCCTGAATCAAAATCTGTATTACCTTCCTGTATTCACAGTAGGAAACAATAGAAACAATAGTAAAGTGAAAGCAACTAATCACAGACTGTCTTACAGTATGCATTATTTTTTTTTATCTTTCTGCAAACATTCAGAAAACATGAATTAAACCTTGTAAATTATTATGAAACCTGAAAAATGAGAAGGAACGCATGACCCTATCTTTGCAAGGGGAAGCTAGGATGCTGAGGGTTTGTGGTATGGCTTAAGTTCTGTTACAGTGTGTGTAGAAGAAATGAAAGCAGAATCCTCTCTGCTTTCACTGGAAGTTGCTCCTTGGATTACAGTTTGTGATGTCAAGTTGGAGAAAGAACAGTGCGTTAGGGATACTAATGCTGATGGTAGATTTTGTGGTACTAGTGGTTGGTCTCACCAACAAATGTTGTCTGGATCATCAAACAGCTTTGCTGTAACAGCAGACTTCCTTTTAGAGCTGTGAACAACAATCTGAATTAAACAGCCCTTGTAGAGGTGCAAAGCCTCTTTACCGTTTCCCAGTCATTAAGTCACATCATCTTTGTACTCAAAATCAAGCTTGAGACTTCTGTGTGTATACTGGCAGTATCTGGTCATGGTAGGAAACAAGCATTTGAAACAGTCTGGATTTGTTTCACAGATGAGGTTTGGAATCTCCCTCACCAAGAAAAAAGTATTTCTTATTTTAAAATAATATTTTAGTTTAACCTCAGGAAGTCCTTGAAGCTCATTTTGGAAGTGACTAAGTTTCTCTCTGTGCTTATAATTAAGATATTGAGAAACAGTGAAACTTTTAGATTGTCTGTTTTCACTTGCCAGAATGAGTGGAAATACTTAAAAGTGTATCAAGACTAGAAGTATTTTGGGGTGAAAGAAGAGAAGGGGTGACAAGTATTCATAATCAAAAATCTCTAAATTCAGCATCTGAGCCAGAGTAAGGAAACAGAGAAAAAGCCTCTCTAGCCCTAAGAATGTATGTCTACATACATATATATAAAGAAGAGTGGTTTTGCAAGAGTTCACCTTAAATCTTAATCAGTAGGATTCTGAAAGATCATGCAGCAGCTCTGCCCGGAGCTGTCGGCGAGGCCGGGCCGGGCCGGGCCGGCGTTGCTCTCGCAAGCCCTATGCTTGGACCTGAGGAGGAAAACTCTTCTGCGCTGGGGTAGTTGCCCCTGCCCAGCGGGCCCCTGGTCGTTAGTTGCCCCTGGGCTTCCCCAGCACCTCCCAGTTCCTCCCAGTGGTGGGTGCCTGCTGCCGGCAGAGGTGCGAGAGCGAGCCGGAGCAAAACCATGCCCGGGGGGAGGCGGGTGGCTCAGTAGGAGTTCAGCGCTGGAGCAGGTTACCACAAAACAGCCTATAAATATGACAGTTGTGTGTCATGGGCAGAATAATGTGGACTGATGAACTAAAGGGTAGAGGTGGGGTTTTTTGGGTTGAGTTGGGGGGGGTGTGTGTCATGGTTTTCTTTATTTTTTTTTAATTAAATCCAAAACAGCAGATGGGTCACAGTGAGGCCCGCAGGGTCCCAAAGCCGCCGTTGTGCTGATCTCTTGCCTCCCGCTTGCAGTGAGCGTGCTGGATCCGGTGTTCCTGGCTCAGCGGAGGGTTTCTCTAGCCAGGCAGGCGGCGAGGCAAGGCGAGCGGGCTAAAGCCGAGGAAGCTGGCCGAGCCAGGTGAGCCTCCCGGCGGAGCGGCGTGGCTGGGGGCGCGGGGGCACAGCGTGCCGTCGTTGTCGTGCGAGTGCGATGTTTCCCTTGGCCGGGGGGGTGCCTGCGCTGATGCCAAAAGGCCC